AGAGAGCCTTTGAGAGTCAGAACCTGAGCCTTCCCACTGCCGCTCCTGTCTGTCTGCCTCCCAAAGACACTGGAGCGATGGACGACACTCCGTGCCCGAGGCGTCCCTGAGGCTGAGTTGTGGGTTTTCTCTAAGCCGCCTCCTCCTAAGTCCACCCCCTTCAGCAGCTCCCAGCAAAACCTCCCACCAAGTGAGTGAGGGAAGGAGGCCTCACACCAGGGCCTGGACCAAATCTCCTCCCAAGGGGCTGCCGCACTTGGGCTGCTCTTGCTCAAGAACCTCCGTGGCTCCCTTACGCCACAGAGTCACGTCTCCATCGACCTCTAACATGGCTGCCTGCACTCCAGCCAGCAGCTGTGCTCTGGGCCCTCCCAGTGCCTGGCCTGGACCCCATGGCTGTTCCCCTTCACCCCACACCTTTCTTCCTTCCCTCCTTCCTTCCTTCCCTCCTTCCTCCCTTCCTTTCTTTTTTAAAAATATTTTTTTATTGATTTCAGAGAGAGGGGAGAGGGAAAGAGAGATAGCAACATAAGTGATGAGAGAGAATCACTGATTGGCTGCCTCCTGCACGCTCTCTACTGGGGATCAAGCCCGAAACCCGGGCATGTGCCCTTGATCAGAATCGAACCCGGGACCCTTCAGTCCGCAGGCCAACGCTCTATCCACTGAGTCAAACCGGCTAGGGCCCCACACCATCCTTTCTTGGTGCTCCTGTTCCCTAAGGGCGCAGGCTGGTCCAGGGCAGAGGGGTCACTCTCAAGTTCATCTACAGGCCCCATGCGCACTCAGCTAAGTGCCTGGGAATCCAGGCTTCAGGGGGGAGGCTGCAGGGCCCCCGTGGGGTGGAGACGCAGGAAAGCTGTCCTCGGAAGGCTCAGAGGTCCCGGCCTCCCAGGGATCCCACTATAGACCGAGCTGCGGTGACAAGCTGGGATGGCTCTTGAGCCTTAGCAGCACAGCTGACGAGAGAGCCCGCCCTTCCGCAGGGTCCCCAGGGAGCCGGTGCCTCCCCAGGGTCCCGATTTGCATGGCAGGAAGGGGCCTGGTGGGGAAGAGGCGGGGAGGGGACAGGCTACAGCCCGGGCAGTTACACGTTTTCCCTCCAGGAGCCTTCGTCGTCATTGCGGGCTTGGGATCCGAGACCGAGGGGTGGCCATGGCCAGGCTGGCGCTGTCTCCTGTGCCCAGCAACGGGCTGGTGGTGCTGCTGATGCTTCTGTCAGGTACAGCCCCTCCAGCAGGCCTGCTGCTTTCACTCTCTGCCACTCTTTCCACCGGGTCTGTCTCTGCTCTCTCCACCCTCCTCCTGTTTCACACTTTCTGCCCGGTCTCCCTCTGCTGCCCTGGGGCCTGAGTGTGTGGGGATCAGCTCAGGGGTCTGCGATGAACTCAGGGGTCTGCGCCCCACCCAGCCCGCTCCAGTCTGCATTATCCGGCTGAGCTAGGCCTGCGGGGTTGGTGGTTCTAACCACACAAGAGCCAGGCCAGGGAGGAAGAGAGGAGAGGAGTGTGGTTCACCCCCTGAGGCAGGGGGGAGGCTGCCCCCAGCCAGACCCTGGGGCATACATATTCCAGAGGTGACCTCCCTGGAGGACCGGAGAGCTCTGTGATTTTGACTTCCCTCCTGTCTCATCCAGGTGCCTGGTCAAAGCAGAAGGGGGGCTGGGAGGCAGACCTTCTGGGGACCCCACCTCGCTCTGTCCACCCCACTCCTGTCTTCAGAGCAGGGGTGGGAAGGGCTGAGGGGTCTTGACGCTGCTGTCCGGGGAGGAGGAAGTGCCTCTGAGAA